AGACTGCAAATTTCCACGATTATTTCATCAAATTTTAAATTTTGAGGGGTGCTCCTTGAAGTAAATTTTACGAGAAAACCAGTGCGACCATTTTTTAAGACGTAAGCTTTTAAAGTTTCCAAATTTCGTCCGACTTCTCCCGTTGATTTGATCCACTGTGCGATTACGAGCGTTATAACACGGCTAAGAACCCGCGTGCTCATTTCCCATTAATCTCGATTGACCAATGATCGCATTCTTCAGGATCAAAAGATCGACAAACGATAAAGCCTGTCGACGACTGTTCCAGAGACCCCGATTCTCACCCCGGGTCCTTAACCCAGAGATCCTCAGCTTATATTTTCTCTCCTCTCAATATTAAAAGTATTATCTTCGTTTGGAGCGCGTATAGCAGAAAAGAACCAAGCCACATCGGCTATTGCCAAATTTAACCAGGCAATTTAATTTTTTTTCGAGAGAACATTCGTGCGTAGTTCCTTGAAAATTTCAAGGACGTTGCTTTGCACTCTGCAGAAAATTACTGAAATTGGCACACAAATCCGCACAACCGTTTACATGTAAACAGTTAAATTGCCTGGTTACATTTGGCAATGGCTGATGAGGCTTGGTCCCTTTCTGCTAAAGGCGGTCCAATTATTTAGAGAAGGAGTGTGGAGACTGAAATCCGTTCTCAAAAAAAATGGTGGACGTTTTACACAATCGTGTGATGAGAAAAAAATCGAACAAGACGCAAAGTTTCCGGTGTATTCTTTTTTTTTGGAGGGGGGGAGGGGATTTACTGCGGGAAGGAAAAGGTGCAAATTACACAGGTGCTAATATAATTAAATATAAATAATATAATAAAAAATATAATTAAACAAGAATTAACAGTTTTCAATGCGTGCAGTATTGACGGTGTTACGGGTTGCTCTTCAGCGTGCGAGAAGGCATGTCCTCGTAAGTTACGCTTCAACCAATTAATCAATTTGATTTCGTAGAAAGTCACGATGCATGAATGACCTCTTGTTTGAAGTACACCCCGACGATGTTTTATCGGTCCTCCAACCTGCCCGCTCCTCCATCGAAGATAGTAATTGTGAGCGCAATCGGATTCGGTGCGAATCTAAGTACCAGGGAATTGCATTAAAATTCACAAGTCAAAACTTTCTCATTTCGGCAATACCAACAATTAAAGACTCAACTGCGTTCAAAACGTAGAGAAACTAAGAGAGTATCCAGTGGATATCACTTCCTTGCATGTCAAGAATAGACGCACCTTGCCCGCGGCTTCGCGAGTTACTAATTGTTCTTCATGCACGTTGCCAAATTGGACATCATTAGTGAAAAAAGCTTTTTATTAGTAGAGTCTGCTTGTTGCATAGTTGGCAGAGCTCTCAATTCTGCATGGGCTTTTTGTCAATTAAGGTGTATTTGGTAGTTCCTATCGGAGACTTAAATTACACTTTTACCAAAAAATATGGAGGGACCAGTTGTTCCTTTTTTCCTGTTAAATTCTGTTTTCTTGATTTAATTTATTTTTACGATCAGTATAAAAAACCACCTTACAATACATACTGCAAAAAAGTAGTTTTCCTACCAAATTCAATTTTCTTGATTTAGGACACGAAGAAAAAGTCCGAAATTCATTAAAATTGATGAATTCAAAATAGGTTACCATTATTGAGACCGATTGATTTATACCTGATTAATTTAATTTTCTATCCGGAAATTAAAGTGATATTCCGTCGAAAGGCAGACCCTTATTCTTCTGTTCTAAAAGTTAGTTCTTGTCATGAGCACATGCGTAGTTGATGATGATGCTGATGATGATGATGAATGACGAGGTACCTTAAAACTGAATCAACTTTAACTTATTTCAATGGACGGTAGTAATTGATTTATTGCTCGCGATTTTTCTGGCAAGTTCTTATGACTATGTCACGTGGTTCACAAACTTGCACTCATCTGCAAAGACAATGAACTTGGGAGGAAGAAACATAATTAAGTTTACATAAGTTTTAATCCACGATGACTTTCCGTTCTTAGAAAATCATGAAATTACTCCAAATAAAGCTGAGATCCATCTTGACCTTTGTTAAAATTACTGTGAGTGAAAAAACTGTATCAATGTCATTTTTGATCTTCCGAGGCTACCGGAGCAAGGAAAAAGGCGTAACGCATATTTCAACGATAATGTCGCGTATCTACACGGAGAAAAAAAACTCGTGCGTGGGACCCGAAGTTTAGGTCATATGGATCTCTGAAGTTTTCAGATTGAGCATCTGAACACTTTAGGTCTAGCTGCCGAAGTTCGGATCATATATCTGAAACTTCAGTTCTTACATCTGAAGTACTTCAGATGTGAGAACCGAAGTACTTCGGATGTGAGAACCGAAGTACTTCGGATGTGAGAACCGAAGTACTTCAGATGTAAGAACTGATGTTTCAGATGTGTGATCCGAACCTTAACAGCTAGACCTAAAGTGTTCAGATGCTCAATCTGAAAACTTCAGAGATCCATATGACCTAAACTTCGGGTCCCACACACGAGTTTTTTTTCTCCGTGTAGACTACTTAATCCAGTTACGGTGCTTCAGAGTAAGACAAACACTAATTGTCAAAACCTATAGCCACTTTGGTCTATTATAGAATTAAAAATGTAAGGATTTAAATGTGAATGGTGCCTCAAACGACACAATAATCATTCCTTAAAGATAATTTAACGAACAGCCAGTCTTTCATTCATTGAGAGTATGTATTTCAGGCATTCCTTTGCGGCATTACGAAGAATCATTTTCAAGTTGAGTAGCTCATTTTTGTGACGAAAGAGGGCGTGAAGGTGCATTATATTCCGGGCTCGTGCAATAAGGAAACATGACAGAGTAAAATTTTGAACGGCTTTTTCTAAACTTTTTCTTTTTTTTTTTCAACTAGAGACTTTGAACCAACACTTTTCTGATATGAGTTGACATTTTTAGGTGGTTTTGAGCCATAGCAAAGTACTTCTCTATTGACGTTATAATTTCATCACCGCATATCCTGTTAGCGCGCGATGTCTTAAAATGTCCGGTTTTTCCTTAGGGAAGAACAAATCTGTTGCAAACGATCACAAGTTTTCTCGTAAAAATGCAGTTCCCGAAGTGGAAATTGTGTAACAGTGAAATACAATTAAGTTTTCTAGTCTACAAAACGACGATGTTTCTAAAAAAAAAAAAAAAAAAAAAAAAAAAAAAAAAAAAAAAAACTCCTCTATATTCTCGTAGGAACAACTCAATTTTGAGAGTTTGTAAACTACGGTTTTTTTTCCCGCCACGGAGGTCCCAAATATCGCTTCTCTATGACGTAACACTAGTAGTATCTAAACCGGTGGTGAAATGAAGTTCAAATAAAGACTTCGACTAGACCGGCTGGAACTCGCATCGCCGAATGCGAACGTTTCCATCAGGAGTAAGTTGCTCGTGAATGATAGGCTGGATCTATCGAAAAGAGCAGCTCAGATTATGGAGTCTCCACTTTCAATGACTGACGCGGGTTCCTTTAAAGGAAAGACTCGCGGCGATAATGATGTGAAGTTGCATCATAAAAATGAGAGTTACAATCGCTAATCAGACATGGCTGATTTTGCACTAGGGTACCTGGGAATTTTGATAGAGCGATTTTATAGAGAAAGTATGGACACTGAGGCCGAGGCCCGGTAGAGACTTTCAGGACCAAAAAAAATAGCGATGACTTGGAATGAAAGGAGTTCGTTGCCAAAAATCTACCACCTGCTACACTTGCCGCCGCTTTTGCCATTCTGTAAGCAATATAGTATATCGACGGTCGCAGACTTCCTGTCATACTTAATTTTTTAAATGAAAAACTACTTAACATCCAGTCTTGAAAATTGCTGTGATTTTTCCTCTTTGTGCGGAGAAAATTCCGTGAAAATTTCAAGGAATGATATTGATTTGGTCTACTTCAAAAAAATAAAATGTGAGCGTAGATTTTTAAACACCACAAACGAGATACGTGGTTTGGTAGTTTCACCGTCGATCCGGTGAATATTCTTCTTTTTTTGTGGTGCCTTGTGTTCCAAATTTGTTTCAAATCGGAAAAGAACAACAAAGTGTGTAATTTTAGCAGAATTAACGATCCAAAAAGTTTAAAAAACGACAATTTCAATATTTTAAAGGCATCTTTCTCTAACGTTCACCATTTTTCGAAACCTAGGCAGTTCTATGATAGGTATATGACAATGAGATGGATAAACCAATCTGAAATACATTTTCAAGAGTTCACACCATCTTTGCGAAAACTCCTTGCTGGAGGGCGACGGTAGTAGGATTTGAATTATTTTCTTCGCGACAATTTTGCGTTTCAATCGTTATCGCACGCGGCTCTCAAAATTCTCTTTATTTACTTTTGGATTCTATGGAAAAGGACAGGCATTGGCGAAGAATTTTGAACCACCCCCTTTCTTATCATTCAAACTGCGCTACGAAATTCTTGCAAGATTTCCAGTTTTTTTTTTGACCAAATGAGCTTTTACGAGGTAACTAGTGTTAATTTATCCTCCAAATTTTCTTTATGACCGCGTCAAACTATATCAAGAGCTCATGATGCAAAAGTGTAATCACGTACGCATATCGCGAGGTTGCTCTAAATGTCAGAATTGAAAAGTCCGATGTAGATGAGAAAACCACCGAATAGATGAAATACCTCGATTGTAGGGTAAATACGTCTACTTATACTTATCTACCCTTTAAATGAACTTAATTTCGTGTTCATTGTGGTTTTTCGTTCGCGTCCAAGGTTTAGGGTCCTGGCATTGATAGCAATCTCGCGGCACCTCGACTTCGACGACTGATGTTACAGTTTCCAACTAAGAAAGGTGAATTTGAAGAACGTTTAAAGGAGTTAAATACTTAGTTTTGTCACAAAGTATTAGAAAATCAGAGAAAATTTGGGCATCGTGAAAAAGGTTGGACTGATCTCAGTTCATCCGTCGAAGTCGTAATCGAAAATCCTCTGCCTCTTACCTTCTATCCCGTTTAGCGGTGCCTGAAGTTCCCCTGTGGGTCCCTCGTATGGTCCGGTATAACGACATCATCTTGAAATCCAAAAATTTCCTGTTGCACTGCACTCAACACAAAAACTCACTACGAAATCGCACTTTTCCGGGCTTGTGACGCCCGATCAAACGAATCGAACTGAGCGATCCTGAAACCTTCCAAAATCACCAAAAACAATTTAAAATCGAATCGCGGGATCACAAATCTGAACTATCACAGGATTGATTCATCGCGGACATTAAACACAGAAGAAAAAGGGCACTTTACCTCCCGCTGTGACTGGGAAGGGGGGGTGGTATTCGCACAGATTTTGGGCGCGAAAAGCGTCGGTGGAAGCACTCACACGCGGAAAGAGGGGACACTAGAACAGCACCCGCGAATTATGGACGGAAAAGTGGACGGTGAGCCCTCTCGCACGGCTGGACACGGATCACACCACCGCAGAGCAAGCAAGACTGAAGAGCCAAGGAGCGAACGCGCTGAGGCTGAGACGCGCTGGTTCTTGGTCCCAGCGTCGTCGTCGCACAGTAGAAGCAAGGTGAGCTTTCGAGCGTACCCATGTGAAACGACAATACTGCACCTAACTACACTGCCGTGACAGCGAAGAGAGCAGTAAGAGTCAAATTTTCGAAATCGAGTTTCCTTCAAAAATTGTCCGAACTCAATTAGATGAAATCACTGAAATTGCTAAAATAGCAAAATTCATCTTAATTGTATCAAAACGAGACATACCGACGGTGTAAGTCGGCAATCACATAACTCGTTTGCGGTGTCTGAAAATCTCCGCCTCTATGTTATTTTTTTAAAGGAGAACAAATTGACATCATTCCTTGAAGATTATGCAGAATTTTCTTCGCACAGAGAAGAAAAATTACGGCAGTTTTAAGGAATTTCTGTTGGGTAGTTTTCCGTTTAAAAAATGAAGTATGACAGGAAGTCTGCGACGTCGCAAACCGAGTTATGTGATTGCCGACTTACACCGTCGATATGAGAAAGCCATAAGTGCGCAAAAAATGAGGAGTTTTAGGCAAGACAGCAGTAAGTAACAATATTCCTCCAGAGAGCCAATGAAAATAGTGCTTTCAAGTAAAGTACCGCCCTCTTCTGCCAAATTCTAACTTGAAAATGTGTTTGTTGTGTGTCCAAAACGCAGCCACGAAAGCATGCCGAAGATTGCACTTACGGCTGTGTTGCCCAACAATAATCTAGCATGAAAATGAAAAATATCCTTTTTATGTAATTGAAATAAAATCAGTCGATGTTTTATCATCCAAACGATTTCTCGGAGTCTTTCGGACGATAAGTGGCAATTTAACAAAGAACGGAGGCGAGGCTTCTTTCAATAAAATTTTCCGGTCAGAAGCTTCTGAGCCCGTTTTCTCAAAACTTTATTTTTGCATTTACTGCTCTCTTCGCCATCACGGCAGTACACTGCCGTGCTGAGGGAGGACCTCGTATGGGTCCTTAGAAATTGCTGTATATTCTTCAATAAAAACCGAATTTGCCGGAAAATGTAAGAGTATTTTCCCCAATTTTCAAGACAATTTTGTTTGCACTTTAATCCAGAAGTCTGAAAAGTTCAAGGAAACTTACTCATAATTTTCCTGAAAAATAATGTTTCATCCTGGAAAATTTGGCAACTCCGAAATGTTCGTACGGTATTCTTCTTCAGCAGGGCATTATAGCGCCTGTTCTTATTAGTGATCGGCATGCAAGAAGCGTGAGCGCCTTCAATTTTTGGCTATGCAACATGGACATCCATCAAGTACGAATAGTTGTATCAAAGTGTTTGAACTAATGCGCCCTGAGACTGCGATACCATCTTCTTAGAGTCTGATTTCAATTCCGTCGATTATGAGTGAGAAATAATGATCTTTTTTTATCCTAGTTAAGTTTTTACGAAACACTCGTTGCTTAAAGTTGGACCCTTCACAAATGTGAAAGGCGCTCACATTACGCACGGTCGCGTCATTGCGTCTCACCTATGAACAGTATATAGGCATGAAGGAAGCGAGAGCGCCTTCAATTTTTGGCTATGCAATACGGGCATCCATCAAGTTCAAATAGTTGTATTTAGACGCGGCGGCGCTTTTTTGCGTCCTCAGACTGCTGCGATGCCATCGTTTAAATCTGAACTCAGCGAATTATAAGTGAACCATAACCATCTTTTACTATCATTTGCGACCAAGAGGGTTGAAAAACTAAAATGAGTTTTCCATTTCGTTCATTGTGTCAATTCATTTATTTTATTTATTCGTTTACGTTTCAGAGTTGAAATTTAACATCCATAGCTGTTCGGCATTTAGTGGGTGAAACGATGGTATTGTTAGTTGTTACGTTAAAAAAATGAATTTCCTTTTTTATGGTAAACGACTGAAAGTAGGAGCAAAGATTGGGTAGAAAATGCCCGACACATCATTCTACCTAAATGTCAGCACGCACGCATATATTGAAGGCATTTTCCGTAAGAAACCCAAGTATAACATCAGCTGTTGCCAAATTTTATCGGAGAGCCTAGTTGTTTACAAGAATACGATTGTTCTGGTGAGTTTTGAAATTTCAGGACATTTCTCCTGCAGTATGGAAAATGTCCTAAAATTTAAAAAAAAAGAAATCTCTATTTAGATAAAACTATTCGCTTGTAAAAAAGCCAAATTTGGCAAGAGGGGCTAAAGTAACTTAGTTCCTCTTTAAAAAGCGCCGCCCATTTGACATTTCATAGCTACCTACCCCATGAACTGGGAGACGGATAATGTAAAAAAAATACACTAAAAATACCAGTGAATGTAATCAGTCACCAGTGTCAAGGATGACTGAATAAAATGTCACCTGCATTTTTATTACAAAACAATGCGCTCGTGCTTACTCTACACTACCGTGCTGAAAAAACACGCCATATGAACGTTTGGACGTTGCCAAAGTTTATTTGATAAAAAAGAAAGTTGGTGAAAAGCTAGTGGACTTTTTCCATTTACTTTTTTAGGGATTTTATTCGCCATTAAATTTAATGCATTTGAAAATTTCCAGGATAAATATTCACGAGCATTCTCAAAAATAAATATTTAATCGGGTTAGCTTTGGCAACATCCGGAGGCTCAAGTACAGTGGTTTTTTTTTTTTTTTTTACTAACGACGTCAGTAAAAGAGTTATATTCTTTACCCTCTTTTTCAGCATTACCTCTTGAAATTAGTCCCTGTGATTCCCGCGGAAATCTGCAATTGAAGGAAGGAAATTTAAAGCGTATTGGTTAGCAGGTGTTGCTTGAGATCATGCAGGTGCGTCACTAGTTGTAGGAAATCTGGAGACCTGAAAAAACCATTATTTTCATAAAAAAAAATTCGAGTGTCCAAAAAAACTGCGTAATAATTAATCCATGAGGGGAAAGTATTTCGGATATTTTACACTGAGAAGCGCCGGATAGCGCCAACCAGACTTTGAATTTCAAAACATTAATAGTAAGAGCTGTCCAGTACTTTAATTTATCAATCTGTAAGATCAGCATCTTGTCCATCCCTTTAATTTTTCCACTTTGCAAAAGAACGGTAAAATTTAATAATTAGGTCAAAGATGCAATCTGAATTCGAGATTAAGACCTGCATTCTTGCTTGGGTTGGATCCATTGGATGATACTTTGTATTCTAGATAAAAGAGCATAATTCCATTTTAATTTTGCATATTTTCCATTTTTAATTCATGTTCTCACTCAACAACTTTTGGGATCTTTTTTCAGCGAGCTGTAAGGATTATCCTACGGATTGCAGAAAAAATTCAGCAGAATTTTGGACAGAAATTAGACAGTCATAATATCAGTGCAAAAAAGAATGATTGAAGTAAATTTTGCAACCAAGGATTTCATTATGTCCTTTAGTCTTGAGGACAACTGATTATATTTTTCCTATTGGAATTTCTAAATCAACGTCAATGGTAATCTTTTATCGATATGTATCGATTGGTAGCCGGAGAGAAGTCAAGTCTCAGAACTTTGATGTAATTAAGACCTATTAGTGACGCTACACGCTTAAAAAAATCTCTGGAGGCATAAGCTCTGGCCAAATGAGAGGCCCCTCAAGACTTTTAATTAAATTTGCACTTTATAATTGCGTCCTGGCGAAAAGAAGATGCAGAGTATTGGCCAACACGAGGCATCATATTATTTGAGGCATTATGCACCGGTTGACCTGTCCTCAAGCGATGCCCTTTCGGTTTTTACCACTACGGTACCGTAGCAGTGGCGTGACGTGAATTGCGATATATCGATTGTTATGCTATTTAAACCCATGATAAAGAATCGATTATTAAGGTGTTCGCTGTGAACACCCTGTTTATCGATCCTTTTCCATAGGTTTAAATGGCCAATGAATCGATATATCGCAAAGCACGTCACGCCACTGTACCGTAGCCGTCGGTGAGTCATCATTCACCGAGTAATATCCCAGACAAGTTCTCTTAATCTTCCTCGCTTTAAATCCGGCAGCATCTCTGTTGCCAAGAATCCCGACGAAACCATGCAATCATCGTTTTGAATCATTTAATTAAAATGCGTTAGGTATTCACATTTGTTAACGAAATCCTGATTGTTTTAACGGTGATTTGAAACTCAAGTCCGAACTTTCCGCACGCAACTTTTCTCGTAGAGATAACTAGAGACGTCTCTACTGGTAGAGTCCACGCTAAGTAAGTGAACGCATCTTTAGACTACAAGTAAAGATCTATCATCTTGATTCTTACATTTACTTTCAATGCTAAACTGACGACAGACGATCCTCTGTCGTATATAGTCTATACAAATACGTGAACTTATTTGGCGAGGACTCTAGTCCAGCAATGGTGGTAGCTTTACAGCTGCCTACAAGGAATATACGCAATGGAAAACCTCCACCATTACTGGATTAGATCCGGAAATAACGTATCTTTAGTTTGCGGATTTTCTGTCCCATTTACTTCTCTAAAAGGATAATCGAGGGGCTTGGAGTACAAGGCGAATAAGTGCAGATTTTGCTATTTCAAGAAATACCTGGATTACGTACGTTTCAAAATTACATTGAGCTTATTGGCGGGTAGAAAGTTGAAATCTACTTTTTGATGCTTGAAAATTTGATTTCAGTCATAAATGTTGTCACAGAATATACTTTAAGATTAGCTTCAGTTGAAATCATTAATATCTCATGTTTTCCAAAAACTGCACTTTGGCACCTTGTCCTTCAAGCCCCAAAAATGTATCATGTTTTTGGCAAAATTGTTCATGATTTTTCCGCGTGTTGCGGGTGATGCAAAGTCCCGTCAAGGTAGTCAGGACCACCTGACGTGACAGAAGTGTAGTTCCAAAAATATTCTTTAAATAATACGCTGTAAGAATTTCCAATAATATTTTTTCGAAAAAAAAGGAAACAAATTACGGGAATTCTGAAAAATATCGAGATCCGTTTACCATCAATGCGCA